CTGAATTTCGTATTAATGCAAAATTTACTTACTGAGCCCTATTGGGGACATATCATAGTATCTATGCTGTGTTATGGAGTTTAAATCAATAAAATGATACAATTTTGCCTAGCAATGAATTAAATAAAACAGGGTCTGCAAATTATGGCCAGATCCATTTTGGCCATGCCTCATTATTTACATGCTTCCGAAGCTGCATTTCCATCATATTATAACAGCAGAGATGAACTGCTCCTACTGAGATCAAGAGATCATGTACCTCTCAAAGAGGAAGATATTTATCATGTTGTCCCTTTAAAAAAAAGTCTGCAATTCCCTGAAACAGAAGATGCAAGTATAACAATAATGTCCAACTTTACTAAATAGCAATTAAAAACAAAAATTTCAGAAGTCCAGAAGTAGAGATCTTTTTCAACAGGGCTATTAGGAGAAAACTTTTGGAGGAGGTCCCAGTAGAAAAGAGACCAAAAGGACAAGTATGGTAGGTGTGAAAGCTTCCAGGCCAAAAAAAAAAAAAAAAGGATATATATATAAATAAAAATATGTGAAGAAAAGAAACAAAGGAGAGGATGGAACTTACCAATTAGTTTAAGTATAAACTTTTTAAGATGTATAAAAGGCTTTTTGTCTTTTACCATTTTTTAAAATCTGCATGTATGTTATGCACAAATCATATTCCATACACCTGTAGGATGTCTCTTAATTATATGCCTGCTTTCCAGCTGGTAACCTCATTCTAAAGAGGCAAGCTCAAGGAGAATTTTGTGACAAATAAATATCATAATTAATGCAATTCTCAGAAACTGTGCTATAATTTAACCTTCATCTTTCTTGCCATTTGATACTTTAATATTTATTCAGCACAAAAAAATGAAATATTCTTTTTCTTCCAAGACAAAGTTGTATGACTATGTAACGTCTATATGAAAACATTATTATGTTGCTCAGATTAGAGGAACTTCAAGTCCTAAAAGACCAAAACTTATTTTAATTCAATCAGAAAGGATTGAATTACATTAATTCATTAATTACATTTGGGATGCATTACATTAACAAGTCTAGGTGAGCTGTCCTAAAAACCTTTGAAAATTCAGCTTGCATCAAAAAAGAATTTATTGCAGAAAGATCACA